ATGGGGACAAGGGCATTTAGGGGAAAACTAATGACCTTTTGGAAAGATAAACGAGCCTTTAGGAAAATAGATGGGAGAGATGATCCTTGTGTGACGGTATCTATTTGGGTGTGGTGCTGATTTCTAGTGTAGGTTATTTGGGAGGCTGATAAAACTTAAGCAAATTTATGGTGGGAGGGCTTTGATCTCGAAGACTGTGCTGGGCAGTGTTGCCATGTGTGGCATCTGCCCCCTGGAATGGGGTAAATGGGAGATGAGGAGTGCTAAGAGTGTGAAGGACATGCACTCTTGATGTGAAAACCATAAGGTGAAAGATCTTATTAGTCATTTTTTTATTGATTACATGTTAAATGATATTTTTAATACACTGGATTAAATAAAATATATTTAATTTCATCTGTTTCTTTGTGCTTTTGTAACGTGGCTACTAGAAAATTTAAAATTATATATGTCCTTGCATTTGTGGTTTAGTGTACATCACTGCTCTGCAGGGGGTGAGGGAGTGGCAGTGGGTGTGAGGGAGAGCTGGGGATGGAGCCAGGGTTCAGAATTTGTTAATCAGACTTTCCACTCATTTGCGTGTGTGCTTGTGCTCCAAGGTTGCGGGCGTCAGATCTGTGGCCAGCCCCCCCTCTCAGAGCCCTTGCCTGCTCAGTGAACGGCTTGTGTTAGGAAGCCCTACGAGGGCCCTACAAGGGCCCATTGGCCCACTGGTGGGATGAGCCATTTCCCTGAGCATAGAGGAAAGTACATTCCTATTTTGGGATTTTGCAGGCTGTGTTTAGGAACACGTCAGCAACCTTTAGATGAACCAGCTCCTTTGTAACTTCTGGGCGTTAGCTTTATATGTTGTCTTAGCTAGTCATTTCTGGACTATAGAAATGGAGCTGCTGTTTTCCCATCTGAAAATGAGGGGGAAAGACTGGATGATTGCTAAGTTCTAACATTCCTTTATCTACTTATTTGTGTTCATGATTTTAATTTTAATTATAATGTTTCTTTGTTTACATTTTGACTCAAATAGTGATCACTAAAGAACTTTTGGGGTGATATACTAGAATTTAATTTCACAGATCTTAAATATTGAACCGTTTTGTATATTTGATGGCTTGACATCCTATGTATGATGCTTAAGTTAATAGTAAATGGAAATATTAAAGGAAAAGAAAGCATTAGTCCTGTGGCATCTCAAATATATATTTTAACATTTTGATTATATCAAAAGATTTTGATATTTAGCATTAGATTTTTAAAATTTTGTATCATCTGGTTTCTTATAGATGAAAAATACCAACTAAAAAGGAAAATGAAAGTACTTTTTCAGAATATAAACACATATAATTATTCAAGACATTATAATGCATAAAAGTTAGAAGAAAATCAGTGCTTAGTGATTGAAGATGGCGTAGAAGGTAGAGGCTATACCTGCCTTTTCTAGCAACCACACCAAAATTATAACAAATCTGCAGAGCAACCAGTACACGAGTCACCAGAGGTCCTACAACTAGGTCACCTCAACTAACATGTCACCTCAAAACAGTAGGATGGGCGGAGACGCGAAAAGGCCCAGTCCCACAATCGCATGTGGCGATCTACAATTGTGAGGGTTATCTTGGCTGCAGAGCCACCCTACCTGAGGAGTGAGGGGTCCCAGCCCAGAGGTCTGTACTCCCCAGCACAGAGGTCCAGTGCTAGAAGAGAAGTCCCCACAACTTCTGGCAGTGAAAACCAGCAGAGGTTGGCTGAGACGGTGTGCTGCGAGAAGCAGAGACCTTCCTCTTAAAGAGTCTACACTTCGCCTTACTTGCTGATGGACCCACTAGCTCTGAGCTCCAGCGCTGGGGCAGTTGCTTGAGGGGCACCAGGGACATACGGGGAGGTGCTGAGTTGTCAGACTTCAGGGAGAGGGCTGGAGAGGCGCCTTTCTCTTGGACAAAGGTACAGGCAGAAGTCATTGCTCTTTTGTTGAGCCCTCCCCACTCCCAGACTTCAGACACAGGCATTGCCTTCAACCTGGATAACACAGGTTGCTCCGCCCAGGGGATTCCCTGAGACTCTGCCCATCCCAACTTGTGGGCCCACCTAAGCAGCTTCTAGTGATTTATTCCATACAAACGGGCTGTCTTGGCTCTCATTGTGAACTTTCATAAGACCTCTCAAAGGCTCAGAAAACTCAGCATCTGGCTTCAGCATGCCCTGTACCTCTTGCTAAGCAGCCCCAAGCCCTGCACCAATGGTAGCCAGCCTCAGTTTCTGACTTGGCCCTTCAAGGCACCTGTAAGCTCAGCACAGATGGATTGCTTGGTGACTCTTTGGATTGGTAAGAGTCACCAAGCAATCCACAGATGGATTGCTTGGTGACTCTTACCAGGTGGTCCTGGAGGTGCACAGGCTGTGGCTGAACTTGACCTGCAGCTGTACCCCTCCCAAGTCTGTGCCAAGGGACCCCGCAGCACACCTACTATATAAAGCCACTCTACGAAGACCAGAGATTTAGGAACCCTACTTAATACATAGAAACAGACACAGGGAAGCAGCCAAAATGGGGAGACAAGAATGACCCACATGAAAGAACAGAACAAAGCTCCAGAACAAGAATTCGCCAAAATAGAGACAATCAATATCCCAGATACAGAGTTTAAAACACTGCTTATAAGGATGCTCATGGAACTTAGGGGAAGAGTAGATGAACTCAGTGAGAACTTTAACAAAGAGATAAAAAACATAAAAATAGAGATGGAAAACATAATAGGGAACCAGAAATGAATACTACAACATCTGAGATGAAGAATATATTAGAGGGAATCAACAGAGTGGATGAAACGAACGATCGAATCAGCGGCATAGAGGATGGGGTAGCAGACGACATGCAATCATAACAGCAACAAGAAAAAAGAATCTAAAAAAGCAAAGATAGTTTAAGAAGTCTCTGAGACAACATGAAGCATACCAACCTTTGCATCATAGGGTTACCAGAAGGAGACAAGAGAGAGCAAGGAATTGAAAACTTATTTGAAGAAATGATGTAAAACTTCCCTAACTTGATGAGGGAAATAGACATACAACCCCAGGAAGTTCAGAGTCCCAGATAAGATGAACCCAAAGAAACCCACATCGAGACACATCATTATTAGAACGCCAAAGGTTAAATTCAAAGAGAGAATCGTAAAAGCAGCAAGAGGAAATCAATTATTACATACAAAGGAACACACATAAGACTGTCAGCCAATTTCTCAATAGAAACTTTACATGATAGAAGGGCATGGCACAAAATTTTCAAAGTGTTAAAAACCCAGGATCTACAACCCAGATTACCCAGCAAAGTTATTATTTAGAATCAAAGGACAGATAAAGAGCTTCCCAGGCAAGACAAAGCTAAAGGAGTTCATCACCTACAAACCAGTATTATAGGAAATGTTGGAGGGACTTCTTTAAAAAGAAGGAAAAAAATGTATCAAAAGTCTAAATAAAGAATGGCAATAACTACATATCTATCAATGAGTACTTCAAATGAAAAAGAATTAAATGCTCCAGTCAAACAATAGGGTTACTGAATGGATAAGAAAACAAGATCCTTACATATGCTGCCTGCAAGAGACTCACTTCAGATTAAAAGAAAGATACAGACTAAAAGTAAAGGGATGGAGAGATATTTCATGATAGACCTAGAGTGTAGTGTGCTGAGTGGAGTAAATCAGATAAGATAGAGGAAGACAGTGCCATATAATTGCATGTACATGTGGAATCTAAAGAACAAAATAAACAGAAACAAACTCATAGATACAGAGAACATATTGAGGGTTACCAGATGGGAGGGTGTTGAAGGAGGTCAGTGAAAAAGGAGGAAGGGATTAAAGTACAAATTGGCAGTTATAAAATAGTCATGGAGATAGAAAATATAGCATCAAGAGTATAGCCAATAATATTGTAATAACTATGAATGGTGTCTGATGGGTACTAGGTTTATTGGGGTGATCACTTTGTGAATTATATAGATGTTTAATCACTGTGTTGTACACCTGAAACTAAAAGTATTGTCTGCCAACTATAACTGAAAAATAAAAAATTGTTAATTAAAAACAAAAAGTAAGTTTCAAACAAACAAAAACTCATAGACACAGACAACAGTATGGTGGTTACCAGAAATGGGGGTGGTGGGAGGTAGAAGAGGGGTAAAGGGGGTCAAATATATGGTGACAGAAGGAGACTTGACTTTGAGTGGTGAATATACAATGCAATATACAGATAATGTATTATAGAATTGTACACTTGAAACCTATGTAATCTTAACCCATGTCACCCCCAAAATATAATAAAATTAAAAAAAGAAATCAGTGCTTAATCCATTGAATCAGTGCTTAATTCGGAGACACTACTTTTATATTTTAATGGGCCTCATTTCATTTTTTTTCCTTTCTTGTTTTCATTAGAGCTGTGATCCATATTGATTACCTAATTGTGCATAGCTGTCTTCTCTCAGCTTTATAACATATCTTTTCCCAAATCATTAAAAACTTTTGTAAATGACATTTTTTAGTTTTAGTTGGTATATGATATTATATTAGTTTCAGGTATACAACATAGCGATTAGACATTTATGTTAGATACAGGTGTTCACCCTGATAAATCTAGTACCCGTCTAACACATACATAGTTATTACAGTATTATTAAATATATTTCTTATGCTATACTTTACATTCTCATAACTATTTTGTAACTACCAATTTATACTTCTTAATCCCTTCCCTTTTTTCACCCTCCCACCCTTTCTGGCAACCATCAAATTGTTCTCTGTATCTATGAATTTGTTTCTGTGTAAACATTTTTAATGGCTGTCTAAAATCCCATCTTATGGGTGTGGCTTAGATTGCCCAACAGGGGTATGACTGGGTATCTGTGTTTTCTCTTGATCTTTGCCAATATAATGTTGCAATAAACATATGTGGTGCAAAACTTTTTCCATACTTGGGCTTATTTCATTATAAATATCTGAAGATGAGATTAATGAATCAAAGGTATGACTTTTTATATGGCTCTTTGTCAAATTGATTTCCTAAAGAACTGTACCATTATACTCTTTCACCAATATTGGGGTCAAATGTCTGGGAAAAGGAGTGTTGAAAATGTAAAAAATTACTTCAGTTTTGAGATTTATCTTGCTTTGTTTGGCTTTACATTTCTGTCCCCTCCCCCCACACACCAGCCTAGGTTCACAGATTGTATTTAATTGTCAATCGTTTTTAGTCTCTTTTAATCTAGAGCAGTGGTTCTCAACTAGGGGAAGGGGTGATATGGATTTTGTCCCCTTGAAGACATTTGGAAATGTCTGGAGACATTTTTGATTGTCACAAGTGAGGGGATTGCTACTGGCATTGAGTGAGTGGAGGCCAAAGATGCTGCTAAACATCCTATAACACACAGGACATCTCCCACAACAAAGAATTACTGGTCCAAGATGTCAGTGGTGCCAAGGTTGAGAAGGCCTGATCTAGAGCAGTTTTACTTTTTTCTTTAGTGACATTGACTTTTTTAAAAAATTGAAGTGAAAGTCACATAACATAAAATTAACCATTTCAGAATGTATAGTTCACTGGCATTTAGTACATTCACAGTGTCATGCAACTACCATTTCTTTCTAGTTTCAAATGTTTCATCACCCGGAAGAACACCCCTACCTGTTAAGTAATCACTCCCCATACCCCTTTCTCCCATCTGCTGGCAACCACTAATCTTTCTGTCCCTATAAATTTGCCTTTTCTGGACATTTCATATAAATGGAAGCATACAGTATGTGACCTTTTATGTTAGTTTCTTTCACTTAGCATAATGTCTTTGAAGTTCATCCAAGTTATTGCATGTCCAGTGCTTTATTCCTTTTGATGGCTAAATAATATTCCATTGTATGGATATGCCAAAACTTGTTTATGCAGCCATCCTTTGATGGATACTTGAGTTTTTCTACCTTTTGGCTATAATACTGCTATGTGCATTCATGTACAAGTTTTGTGCAGACATATTTTATTTCTCCCGGGTCTATACTTAGGATTGGAATTGCTGGATCATATGGTAACTTTATGTTAAACTTTTTGAGGAACCACCAAACTTTTCATAGCAGTTATACCATTTTACATTTCTACCAGCAATGTACAAAGGTTCCAGTTTATCCACATCCTTACCTACACTTATTTTCTTATTTTTTGATTGTAGTCATTGTCAACTGAAAAATAATATAGACTAGGTATTTTGTCAACAAAAAGGATTTATTCAGGAAAAAAGGTTGCAACCCAGTGCATGCAGACGTGGCAAGCCACACGCACACTCTGGCCTATGTGCCGAGATGGAGGGGTATTTATATGAGGGAAAATGGGAGTTAAGGGAAGGGGAAGTTAGAACCATAGAGCTTTATTATGAACATGGAGCTCTTTCTGTAGGGTTCTCGTGATTACATAGAGTGCAAGAACTGCCATAAGCCCTAGCTCCTCTCATAGACCCTCCTGACTGATTGTTTGAGTTCCAGTTAGTCTTTATCATCATCCAAGTGGGTTTGAAGTGGAACTTCTTAGTAATTTTGATTAGCATTTCCCTAATTGCTGATGACATTGAGCATCTTTTCATGTGCTTGTTGTCCATTTGTTTATCTTCTTTGGAGGAATATTCAGATCTTTTGCCCATTTTTAAATTGGGTTGTTTGTTTTTTCATTGTTGAGTTGTAAGAGTTCTTTATATATTCTGGACACTAAACTCTTATCAAACATATGAAAAACAAGTATTTTCTCTCATTCTATAGATTGTCTTTTTACTTTCTTGATAGTGTCCTTCGATGCATCAAAGTTTTTAATTTTGATGAAGTTCAGTTTATTTTTATATATTTGCACTTGTCTTTTGGTGCCAAATTCGAGGTCATGAAGATTTACTCCCAGGTTTTCTCCTTAGAGTTTTATAGTATTAGCTCTTATTTTTAGATCTTTGACATATTTTGAGTTAATTTTTATATATGGTGTAAGTAGGAGTCCAGCTTCATTCTTTTGCATGTGGATATTGTTTTCTCACCACCATTTTGGAAAAGACTATTTTCTCCACTTAATGGTCTTGACACCCTTGTGAAAAATCAGTTCTAGGTTGTCCATCATTGGATGAATGGATAAATAAAATGTGTGTGTGTGGGCATCCTTGTCTTGTTCGTGGTCTTAGGGGAAAGTTTTTCATAGTTGCCCTTTATCAGGTTGAGGAAGTTCCCTTATATTTCTAGTTTCTTGGGTCTTTTTATCATGAGACATTGACTTTCTGAAGGCTTTGACTTACTTTTTAATATAGAAATTTGTGTGTGTGTATGTGTGTGTTTTATTCTGACCAGTGCTGATTCCTAAAGAAAAGCCTCCAATCACAGTTGTTGGCGATGTGGGAGGAAGGATCGCCATCATCGTGGTATGCAAACCTCTTTTACTATTAATTGTTATATTTATAATTGTTATTCTGTTGACTTACTTGTTAATTATGTGGGAATAGTGGTATGGCCAGGTAAGTCTCAGTTAAGTTGGTGCCTTGTGCTAAATATTTACTTTGGTGCCAAAATTGTTATCATCAGTTTATTAAGACATTGTTAACTGCTTAGCTAAATATTGTACAGTTGTTTATCATAACATGAAAAATTGTTTTGTGATGAAAATAGGGTACAAAATTGATGATAACTGTTTAAAACACGTCCTCTCACACTTCACAAAAGGAGTACATTTAATGCCGTATAGTTTAAATTAGAATAAAATGAACACATAGGTACTCACGACTCAACTTGGAAACAGGACATTGTCAGGTACCTTTGCAGCGCTTCGGGGCTTTTCTCTGGTCTCTCTCTTCTCCCCCACCCCCACCCCCTCCACAAGGTTGTCACTTGGCCTGAGAGTTGTCATTCATGCCCTTACTTATCCTTACAGTCTACAGTGAGTACATGTGTTCTAAACACTATATCGTTTTGTTTTGCATGTTTTTGATGTGTATATAATGAAGTCTTTGTGTACTTTGTGACTTTTTTGTTCTCACTGTTTTGAGATTTCTCTGTATTAGTAACATGTAGTTGTACATTATTCTTTTTCACTGTATGGTGTTCCATGGTATAACTATTACACAACTTATTTTCTGTTCTCTGGGCATTGAACATACAGTTTTTCCTATTTCCAAATAATACTGCTTTGAACATTTTTGTACCTATTTTCTGGTGCATACATGCAAGACTTTCTAGGTGCCTGTGAGTGGAGTTATTGAGCCTGAAAGTACACACATTTCCAACTTTACTGGGTGGTGCCTGATTGTTACCGAAGTGGTTGCACCAGTTTACCAAGCCTCCATGGTCAGTCCCACATTATTCTCAGTGCTCATAATTTTGTTAGAAAATCTCTGATGTCACCATATAGGGGATAGCTGTCCATTAATTTATTTTTTAGTTACCGAAGTCTGTAGAAACAAAATGCTACGAATTCAATATAACTTTTTTTCCCTTTCTACTATAACTGCATTAAAGAAAAAAGTTTTATTTTGAAGTAATTATAGATTCATAGGAAGCAGCAAAAAAAAAAAAAAAATGTACAGGGAGGTCTTGTATAGTCTTTACCTAGCTTCCTCCTGCTTGCTCAACTGTAGTATAGTAACAGTCTGGAAATTCAGATTGCCACTATATATAGCGCTCAAGATAGCACCAGGCTTACGCGTGTGTATAGATGTATGCAATCTTATCACATGTGCAGCTTCGTGCAACCACCACTGCAGTCAAGATACAGAACTGTTCCTTCACAAAGCTCCCTCCCGCTAGCCTTTATAGCCACATCCACCTCTTCTCCACCTGATCCTAACTTGTGGCAGTCACTAATCTGTCCTCTGTCTTTATAATCATGATTTTAAGAAAGTCTCAATAATGGAATATATAGTATGTAGTCTTTTGAGATTGATTTTTTTCACTTAGCATGATTCCCTGAAGATCTAGGTGGTTTCGTATATTAATAAAGTTCGTCCTGTTATTGTTGGGTAGTATTCCATGTATGTAGGTACAGCAATTTGTTTAACCACTCATTTGTTGAAGGAAATTTGGATTATTTCCATTTTTCTGCTATTAGAAATAAAACTGCTATGTACATATGTTTATGGGTTTTTGTGCCAACAGAGTTTTAATTTTTCTGGGATAAATAATCAAAAGTGCAGTTGTTGGCTTGCATGGTAATTGCAAGTATAGTTTTATAAGAACCTGTCAAACTATTTTTCAGAGTGGCTATACCATTTTACCAGTAGTACTTTTAAAGTAATATATATATGTTTTTTTCCTTTGGTCATAGTAATATCAGTATACATTTGAAAAGAGTTACATATGTATTTGTGTGTGTGTGTGTATAAAACCTGAATATTTATTCAACTGTAGATGATGCTTGATACGCTAATGGGCTTAAAATAACTTTGGTAGCCTGATTGTAATAGGAAAGACTCCGTTATCCACCTCTTGTGTTTCTCTCGTGTGTCTTCTTTACTACTCACACAAAACACTTTTGGTCACCAAATGTGTAGAGATTTTTTTTCCCCACACTAGCTGGCTGTCCTACAATTTAACTCAATTCTGACACTGTCTACCTGGAGATAGTGTCACATCCCACAGATTAAGGGCTCAGTCCCACGAGACTGCTCCTACCACCCTTCACATGCCTTTAGCAAGTAGCAGGTCCCCAGATTACTCACAACTTCTGTACAATTTGGTTTCATATCTGAGGTTGCCGTGACCTCCTCCTCAGTTGGATGAACTTGCTAGAGTGGCTCACAGAACTCACATAACTTACATTTATCAGTTTATTAAAGGATGTGATAAAGGATACAGATGAACAGCCAGATGAAGACATGCATAGGGTGAGGTCTTGGAGGGTCCCAAGCAGAGGAGCTTATGTCCCTATGGAGTTCGAGTACATCACCTTCGTGGTTCATAGTTTTGTTCACTGACCTAGAAGCTCTATGAACCCCTTGCTATTGGGATTTTATGGAGGCTTCCTCACATAGGCGTGATCAATTATTAACTCCATTTCCAGCCCCTGTACTCTCTCTGGAGAAGTGGGGGTGAGGCTGAAAATTCCAAAGCTTCTGATCATGACTTGGTCTTCCCAGTGACCAGCCCCCATTCTCAAGCCATCCAGGACCGCACTCAGAACCTTCTCATTAGAACAAAACACAGTTCTGTCATCCAAGAAATAACAAGGGTTTCAGGAACTCTGTGTTAGGGACAGGGTCAAAGACCAAATATCAGAACAAAAGATGTTCCTAGTGCTCTTATCACTTAGGAATATACCATGGTTTCAGAAGCCCTGTCCCAGGAACCAGGGGCAGAGACCAGTATATGTATTTTTTATTATCTCAGACTGGGAATCTGTGGCCCATAGATTGGAAACCACTGGACTGGGTATACTGTTAAAAATAATAATTATTGTTTTTCCTATTATAAAAACATGTAAAAAGCATATTTCCCGTATGCCCAGGGAGAAAATTTGGAAAATAAGGAAAAGTAGCAAGAAGAGAGGAAATAACCACCCAGAGTCAAAGCATTTTCTAACAGTTCTATGTATTTTTAAAAAGCATTCAGTGAACATTTCTGGAGCACGTCATGGTGAGGGTACAGTTTGGACCATAGGTTTATAGAGATGGAAACCCTGGGGAGCATCAAGTATGGTGGAGAGACAAGACAGAACCATGCAGGAGAGATGCTGTAAAAGGCTTGGAGGGAATGCAATGAGAGCAGTGACAGAGCCATGTGACTGTGCCATCTGGACATGTTTAAACGGAACAGCAAATCTGTCATTGTAAAATTAGACCCTTTCTTTTTCCTGGTTGTCTAAACCCACTTTTGCAAAAGTGTTCATGTACCTTTCACTCAATCTGTAATTTGACAGGATGACATTATCGATGATGTCGACAGCTTTCTTGCTGCAGCAGAGACCCTGAAGGAGAGAGGTGCATACAAGATCTTTGTGATGGCGACTCATGGCTTGTTATCCTCAGATGCTCCTCGACTGATTGAAGAATCTGCCATCGATGAGGTAACAGCCAGGCCATGTGTGGGTGCCCCTGTCCTTCCACTCTGGCATCTCCTGATCTGTAGCTACAGAGAGTAGGTGAAGAAGGAGTTATTTTGTAGTTATGAATGGCTTCTAAAAATGGGTTGTGTTTGTATTTCATTGACTATAAGCCTCTGTCTTTTGTTCATGATAATAGTTAATAGTTTTAATAATCTCATAAATGGAGCACATAGTCTGTGCTGACACTACCCAGTGCTGTGCACACACCCTCCCTGAGCTTCATCACAGCCCTGCAGTGTCCACGTCACCACCCATTTTAGAGAGAAGAGAAATTGTGCATCAGAATAGTTAAGTGACTTAAGGTCAGACAGCTAGTAGGCTGAACATTTGGGTTTAGACCTTAGTTTGCTTGATGCCAAAGCCCATCTCTGTCCCTGGTACAGCCACCCATGGAATGAAATTGAGAGAGGAAGGCCAACAGGGCAGTTTTTCTATGCTGTCTCTGGCTCTCAGTGTGGCTGATGCAAGGCTGGCCGGGTTTATTTGCCTTGCTTTGTGCACCTCCCTCATTCCACAGGCCAGCCAGGCAGCCTGGGGGTTGATTGTACAAATCACATTATTATTATCTCTTAAGTAGAAGTGCCATCCTCTCTAGATTTCTGGGTATTGAATCTTAAATTAGTCAAACTCCTTTTACTTTTCTGAGTCTCACATTTTTACTCTTCACATAGATCTCCTTAAGCCTGGCCCTGTGTTTATCACCTCTGATGGGCTCAAGATGCGCTAACACAGTCAGAAGGCCAGACATGGCTCTGATCAATCCAGCCTCCTCACTCAGCTGGACAAAACTGACTCAGAACCCAGAATGGCATTATAGGCATTCAAGGAGGCAAAATCAACAATTCAGAATTCACATATCAAGTAAAGTGAGAATACTTCAGGCCCAGGGCAGCTCTCACCAGTCTGTCCATGTGGCACTAGGAAGGGTTCTCATGGGAGCTGTGTTCAGGCAGATTAGAAAGAGCAGACCAGAGAAAGGTGGAGAGGGGACTGCTGGAGCCAGGCCTCTTAGAGCAGAGTGGATTTTGGAGAGGAGGCATAAAAACCAGCAGAGGCAGATGTGAGTCTAGCAGCAGAAGCTCTTCAGTGGAGAGGCCGCCCCTGTAGATGCCTTCACGTCCCTGAGAGTGCTCCATCACCGACATGCTTAAGAGTTGAGGCAGTAACCAATGTCTAGACTAGATTCTTATGCTCACTCTGGTTAGGAATGAAGGTTTTTCATATAGACCTACACACGAAACATAGTTGCACAGTAGATTATAAAGTTTTGAGCAACGTAAAAGTAATGGAAGAATCGACAAGTTAGGAGGTGGGAGAAGTGGAGAGAGACTAAATTTCCGCTTCTTTCAGAATAGGAGCCAGTAGATAGTGCCTTGGGTTGATAAATTAAGATTTGAAGTGTTTTTCTTTCTTTCTTTTTTTAAATTAAAAGTAGTCAAATACTCATAATAGGCACCTATATAAATAGTAGATTAGTGGTTGCCAGGGATTTGGGGAAGGGTGAAACTAGGAGTGACAGCTAAGGGGTATAGGGCTTCTTTTAGGGGAGATATTAAACACAGCTTTGAATGTTCTAAAAACCGTTGAATTGTACACTTTAAATGGGTGAATTAGGCTGTTCACAGAATAGAGCATCATGATTTTCACTGTTTGAGAGAAAGTTGATGGAAAATGTTTGCAGTACTTGACATGTATTTGCATGCACAAAATAATTTTTTTCACCTTAAAAAACAGATAAATCGAATGATGTCTGAATTATATCTCAGTAAATCTGTTATTTTTAAAAAGTGCTTAGAATAATTTTTGGAAAGTTCATTTTCCAAAAACAGAGTAGTTATTTAGTGAGAAAAACTGAGCCCACAAGGTCATCACATGGTGCACTCCAGGGGGCACTGTGCACATTGATTCTGTGTGAATGGTGCAAAAAATTCTGTTTGATACCAGTGAGGGGATATTTCTTTCCTTTGGGAACTGTTTTCCCTTTTACAGGTCATGATACTTACATAACCCTTTATGTTTCCAGTTTTGCCTTAGTTACCAGGAAGGTCAAATACCAAATGATGAGTCACAATAATTACATTAGACTAAGTTTTTGTGTTCCTGGTGCTGATTTTGAATAATTCCTGATTGTCTGTTTCAGCAGTCTCATTGTGTATGTACTTCTTTATTATAAGCTGTCCTGAGGCTTATTTTGAAAGTAGGGAGTATATATGATAAATAATAATTATTCCCATTCTGTCTTTTAAGAAGGCTGAAGATTTTTATTGTTTCCCTTTGTAGCTGTTGAAAAGTGCTTGTTTTCTCCCTTTTTTGATTTTAATCAAATCTTAACTTTTTAAAATAATAGCTTTATTGAGATATAGTTCACATACCATAAATTCACCCATTTAAAGTATATAGTTCAGTGGTTTTTAGTATATTTAAAGAGTTGTGCAACCATTACCACAATCAATTGTAGAACATTTTCATCCCCCCCAGAAAGAAACCTCATACCTATTAGCAGTCACTCTCATTTTTTTCTCTTTCTTATGTATGTATGTATGTATGTATGTATGTATGCGGTTTGTTTATTTTTATTATGATGACACTGGTTAATGAAATCCAGTAAGTTTCAGGTGTACAGTTCAACAGTAAGACATATATATATTTCATTGTGTATTATTCACTGCCTATAGTTATCATTTTCTCTCAATCCATTCGGCCCTAGGCAACCACTAATTTACTTTCTGTGTCTGTAGATTTACCTAATCTGGATATTTCATGTAAACAGAATCATATAATATTGGTCTTTTATGTCTTGCTTCTTTTACTCAGCATAATGCTTTCAAGGTTCATGTTGTAACATGTATCAATACTTCATTTCTTTTTATTGCTGAATATTTTATTGTACGGATAGGATACATTTTTATCTCTTCATAAGTTGATAGAAATTTGGGTTATTTCTGCTTTGTGACTATTGTGAATAATGCTATTAGGAACATTCAAGCTTTCATATGGACAAATGTTTTCATTTCTTTTGAGTATATACCTAGGAGTAGAATTGCTGGGTCGTATGGTAACTCCGTGTTTAAACTCTTAAGGAATTGTCAGACTGTTTTCCAAAGCAGCTGAACCATTTTACATTCCTACCAGCGGTGTATTAGGGTTCCAGTTTCTCCACATCCTTGCTAACACATTTCATTGTCTTTCTTTTGGCCTGTAGCTGTCCTAGTGGGTGTAGGATTATCAAATCTTAATCTCTAAGAAACACAGGTAGTATTCACATTGACTGAAAACATTGTTGAAGGTATGGTAGACCCACTGTCCTCCTTAGAAATTTGAGAATATATAAGATTTTCAGATCAAGCCAGGAAACTACTTGGTTTTATGATGCTTGATGCTCTTGTTTTTTGTTTTTCTCTTGTTTTGAAGGTGGTGGTTACTAATACAATTCCACATGAAATTCAGAAGCTCCAGTGCCCCAAGATTAAAACCGTGGATATCAGCATGATTCTTTCAGAAGCTATCCGTCGTATTCACAATGGGGAGTCTATGTCCTACCTTTTCAGAAACATAGGTTTAGATGACTGAACAGATTTTCTTTCTTACAACTCCCAAGGGCCAAACTGGAAATGTGAGAATGAGTACTGTGAAGGATCATGCCTGTTTTGATGTATTTCCCTGGGTCCATTTGTGTTTTGTTCTTTTCTTGTTAATTCCTCTGAAGATAGACCAACTTTTTATGTCGGTTTGGGTGTTTGTGAGTTTTCTGGGCAATTTTTATAAAAAACTATATTCTCCTCTTAAATAAAATAAGGCTTCATTATACTATTTAAAATATAACTTGGAATAAGATTTTTAAGCTCACAAACAGCCTTTTTCCAAAATTGTTGGAGCCCAAGTGCTTAAAAAATTTAATAAAACAATCTACTGTATGATACTTGCAATTGAAAACCAAAATGTTAGATTGTTGAATCCAATAAATGACATTTTTAGAAATGCTTTTATAGACAAGCATATGAAATATGTGACCATTATTTATTTTCTGCAACAAAAGAAGGAATAAAAACTTACTGTGTTTGTGTGTGTGTGTTTAAATTTTGTGTTTTGGCAATTTTATAACTAAAACGAAAGCTGAATATGCATGCCGTGGATATTGAAATGTTCATCGGCTTGATTAAGTTTTCTCTTCTACAACTTTTTGGGGGATACAGTAGCCTCTTGGAGATGTAATGTTCACTTTTCTACTTGTCCAGGGCCCTGCACATTCTCGATATGTCGTCATTTGTGGCAAGAGAGGAATTTGAATTCCAGGCCCATGGGAGGTGGGGCGGGTGCTCCTTGTTTGATGGCACAGCCATTCGCCAAACAAAATGTGCCACTGCATGTCCTTGGGGATGAGATGCTGGGGGAGGGAGGTCACAAAGGACAAGTGACTTGACCCTCGTCAGTGTCAAGCACTTACGTATTGTCTGTCCTAGAGTTTAGAACTCGAAACTTATACGTTAGAGTTTATCAGCCTATGTATGGGACACTGGGGTCCCATGAGTTATGCCAGTGTGTTCTCTCACTAAGGTCACATATGGGCAGTTTCATCCGACTCATAGAGGGAAAATTAAGACTTTCTTACCAAGAAAAAGATTACCTTTTCTTCAAAAAAACCTTAAACCTTTGCTTTCTGCCTGTCTTTGTTAGAATGGAATAAAATAGTTGACTTAGCACAAAGTTAAGATTAGTCACTTACTGTTTGCTATACTGGGGTTTCTTGGCTCTCCCCAGAGGACAGGACGACTCCTGGGAGCTTGCCCTAGAGCAGGCCTGGGGCCCTGTGTGTACATTGCATCTCCCACAAGAAATGTAGTCCAGCAACTCAGCCATTGAGCAACTGTGGTCATCACCTTGAACTTCTGCTTTTCTCTGATGAACTTTCATTCAAAATAACCCCTCCCAATTCTTTTCTCTGATGAACTTTCATTCAAAATATCCCCTCCCAATTTCTTCCATTTACCCTACAAAATAATGTTTCTCTCCTTTGTTTAACTTGCCTGTCTATGGCTTTGGCTATAGCTTACTTGTCATGAATTGCATTTTTTTTGCTGTTTCTAAAAAATAAAATTTTTTCTGCTGATAACTAACTTTTATTTTTAAGGTAAACATGACCAAATTTTCCTTTTACTCCAAAAAGAATAAGCTGGCAGATGTCAGAATAATGGAGTGGAGACCTCCAAAAGTCTGTCCCTCCATAAAGCAGAAAATAAATTGGCCAAAACTGTTACAATCAACTTTATTGGAATAATAGAAATAGATCAAAAGTTTACAGCAACCAAGTAAATGGCCATACACACGCGCCCACACACAAAGCTGAATCCCCATTAAGAGAGCTTTTACCCTAGTCCCATTACCTGCCCCCCAGCTTAGTGGCAGCATTGAAGATACCAGCCTGCATTCCTGGTATAGGTTCCTAGTTCCATTGGGAGCAGAATAGACCTTGTTCTCGAAGAATTATAGTTGTTTGTTTAGACCTGTCTGGTGGCTCCTTGAAGGAATGGCTCAAAGAATTATCTTTATTTTACTTAATAAACTCTCCCAGAGCAGAGAGGAACAATTGTTGAAAAGTTTAAAGGCAAATGTATTAGCCATTGCCTCTTGGAGCAAACAATAAAACCAAACAGCTTGGGAAGAAAGGCTGGGGAATGAGATGCTGTAACGCAGGAGCCCTAGGCTTGGGACTTGCACCTGAGTTTGGATATTCCAGAAGAATCACCAGGAGAAACGGGTGAGAAATGTTTATTACTCTCAAGGCAGGGAAGTTTCAGCAGTGGCTGGTCTGACCTGTAGGAATAAAGCTGCTGACTAAGAACAAACAGAGTTTTTTATGCCCACAAGCAGAGGAGGGGTTATCTCATTGGGGAGCAGCCACCTTCTCCAACAGATGGGAGCAAGATGTGCTGCTTGGTTAGAGTAGCAGATAACGTCCATGGGAGCAGCAGAAAATGTCGTTAGGAGTAGGCACTGCTGAAAGTTCTTTGTGTACTGCATTCCTTGGCTGCTGGCGTCAGCTATCAGTCTTCTGAGTATGTGGAGGGGCTACGTTCAGAGTTAACCCTACAGATGCTCTGAAGGAAAAGGGCTTTGTAAAGTTCCCACACATTCTTTGGGAATCTAGAAAGCCACACGATTGCAGAGGGTGAGTGTATGCTCAGAAAAAGCCACGAGATCTCATTTCTTGCTGACCATCATACTCTGCACAAGCAGGAAGTGGGAGCTAAGGCAGAGTTGTGAACTGCCTGACTGTTGAAGGCATGACCCACGGCACATAACAGAGCCCATGTGGGAGACTTTTTTCTTTTTTGGGTTTCAGGCTTTTTAGGAACTCTGTGATGACTCAGTAGCTGACAGCTAACTGAACAGGGACTTCAGTTGCCACAAACAACAAAAAATACAGACTTTACAAAATCAGTTCAGAAAAACCACTAAACAAATGTAAAAAACCACAAGCAGCAATAAATACTGGGGAGGGAGGAGAATCTGATTTCCAGACTACCCACATTATAATATGCAAAATGTCCAGTTTTCTTTTTTTTTAATTACTTTTAATAGCATTTATTTTACACTAAATTTACTTTCAGGCCATAAGTTTTTGTTTCTTAAGTTTCTGGAATACCTTTTTCTTCTGGGCAACCTCCTCTGGTATAGGAACAATCTGCCTTTTTTCAGTGAGGATCGTCTCAATGTGGCAGGGAGAGCTCATGTAGGGGTTAATCCGCCCACAAGCTCTCTAAGTTCTGCTCTGTATCTTGGGAACTTTATTCACTTGAATGTGCTCAATGACCAGAGAAACTTCATCTAAACCCTTAAGTTCATCATTACTATCTGCATTTTTAAGTACGTGCAGCAAAAATTCAGCACTCTTTCTGGGCCACTGACTCTTCATCCAGCCCCACTGTTTGGCCTAGGCATCCTATCAACTCTACCATTGTAACGATGGAATGGCACACATTGCTTCTGTAAAGTGACATTCTTCAGATACTTAGTGGCTTTTGGGATATGCATACCTTTGATGGCCTGGGCAGTTTCACAAGTTGATGAGTGGTTGCTAGAGGGTGAGGTCAGAGGATTGGGGAGTGGCTGGTTAATAGATAGAAGTTTCTATTTGAGAGGATGAAAAACTCCTAGAACTAGATACTGGTGATGATTGCAGAACATTATGAATGTACTAGAAGCTAATGGATTGTATACTTTACAATGGTTGAAATGATAAATTTTATATATTTTATGTTATGTATTTTATAAAAATATTGAAAGAAATTAAAGTAGACCTAAATAAATAAAAATGCATCCTATGATCATGGATTGGAGGATGACAATATACCTAAAATGATTTACATATTGTCTAATCCCTAAACCCAAATCTCTACAGAATAATATATCCTAGAATTCACATGGTGGAATCTCCAGGGACTTCAAATAGCCAAAACAATCTTGAAAAAGAAGAACAAAGTTGGAAACTTACACTTCTCCATTTTAAAGCCTACTACAAAGCAATAGTAATCAAAGCAGTGTGGTACTAGCATGAGGAGACAAGTAGACCAATAGAATATAATTAAGGGTTCAGAAATAAACCTTTATATCTATGGTCTATTCGCTTTTGACAAGGGTGCCAAGACCTTTCAATGCTAAAAGAATGTTGGGCTTTAAAATAATTTTTTAAAAATTTAAATGGTGTTTTTAACAAATGGTGCTGAGATAACTAGATATACCCATGTATGAGTGAAGCTAGCCTCTTACTTCACACCATTATACAAAAATTAACTCAAAATGGATAAAGACCTATATATAAGAGCTAAAATTATAAAACTTGGAATAAAATGTAAGGGTAAATCTTCATGAACTTGGATTTGGCAATGGTTTCTTAGATCTAACACCGACAGAAATAATGGATCCATTGGATTTAATCAAATCAAAACTTTACTGTGTTAAAGCACACTAACTGATAATAGTCTAGTACACACACACACACACACACACACACACACACACACACACACACGAGTTTTCTTCTCTTCCCATCTGTGATTTCATGTTGTACAGTTTACCCATAGTCAACTTCAGTTCAAAAATATTAAGTGCAGGTGTGGCTCCATAGTGTAGTGGTTAGCACGTCTGCTTTGCATGCAGAAGGTCTTGGGTTCGCGCCCCAGGTGGAGCCATGGACCATACCTGGGTACACCAGGCCCCAAATGCACCTGGCTCCGGGTGCACTCCACAAGCATATGTGAGGGGATGCCCTGCCTTCAGAGATCCAGTTCTTAAGGGGAAACCACAACGTCCATGGGTCAGGGGTGGAAGGGGGTGGTGGTATTAAAGAGGGGAAAAAAATATTAAATGGAAAATTCGAGAAATAAACAAGTCATAAGTTTTAAATTACTTGCTGTTCTAAGTCACTTAGTAGCCATCTCTGTTATCAAATTGACTACCATGGTATCATAGTGTTTCTGTTCAAGTAAATTATATTTTACTTAATAATGACCTCAAAGCCATTCACATAACTTTTATTACAGTATACTGTTATAATTAATCTATTTTATTATTAGTTATTGTTGTTATTCTCCTACTCTGACTGAATTATAAATTAAACTTTATCGCAGGTATGTATGTATAGGGAAAAACATGCTATATATAGGGTTTGGTATTATCCTTAGCTTCAGGCATCCACTGGGAGTCTTGGCATATATCTCCTACGAGTAAGGAGAGACTACTGTACATATAATATATAATTAATAAATATGTAAAACTTTGCAATTCAACAAAAAGACAATCCAATTAAAAAATGGGCAAAGGACTTGAACAGACATTTCTCCAAAGATACACAAATGGCAAAAATTACATGAAAAGATGTTCAGCATCATTAGCCATTAGGTAATGCAAATCAAAAACCACAGTGAGGTACCACTTCATACCCAACTGGATGGTTGTGCTGAAAAATCAAAACAAAACAAAATAAAACAGAAGCCAGCTGACCAAAAACAAACCAGAAAATAACTAGGGTTGGCAACAATGTGGAGAAATTGGAACCCTAATACACTGATGGTAGGAATGTAAAATGATGCCATCACTGTTGAAAACAGTCTGGTAGTTCCTTAAAAAATTAAACATAGAATTACCATATGACCCAGAAATTCTATTCCTAGGTATATGCCCCAAAGAACTGAAAACAGGTACTCAAATAGGCAGGTGTACATACATATTCAGAGTAGTGCTATTCACAATAGCCAAAACATGGAAACAGCTCAAATGTTCATCAGTGGATAAATAGATATACAAATTTTAGTATGTACGTAAAAAGAAATGTTATTCATCCATATAAAGGAATGAATTAGTGATACAAGTTAAAATGTAGATGAATCTCTTAAACATTACAGTAAGTGAAAGAAACCAGATTAAAAAGGCCAGATATTGTATGATTCCATTTATATGAAATATGCAGAATAGGCAAATCTGTAAGAGACAGAAAGTAGGATAGTGATTGCCAGAGGGAAGAGAGGTATGGAGAAAGACCTCGATGGGTACTGGGTTTTGCCTTAGAGCAAATGTTTTGGAACTAGATAGAGGTGGTGATTATATAATGTTGTAAATATACTAAAAAACACTGAATTGTTCAGTTAAAAATGATTAACTTTATGTTATGTGCATTTTATCTTGATAATACAAAATAATGGGCATTTGGGATTTAAAGGCTTTGAGGCCTTGGTAATTAAAGATCCCTTAGTCACCTGACATCCTGCAGAGATATAGTGAAGAACAAATCCTGTGCTGGTCATGATAGGAGTACAGGTGATCACCAAGAGGTGCAATGGCACAGCCCATGAATTAGACAGGTACAGGGATGCACAGAAGTGATGATAGCTCAGCACAGCCTTAAGGATGACTAAAGTTCACCAAGTAGACCAAATAGTAGAAGGACATTGAAGTTTGGGGTATAACAGACCGGTTAGTGTAAAGTTGGGAACAGCAAGAAATGGAGCTAAACAGGGGCTGGGCCCAAGGTCTTACACTGGATCATATAAGTAGTGAGGGCCATTGAAAGGTAATTTTTAAAATTTATATATATATATATATATTTTCAATTATAGTTGACATACAATATTATATTAGTTTCAGTTACAACACAGTGATTAGACATTTATATAATTTACGAAGTGATCACCTCAATCCAGTACCCATCTGACAACACACATAGTTATTACAATACTACTGATTATATTCACCACGCTATGCTCTACATCTCCATGACTATTTTGTATCTACCAATTTGTATCTCTCAATCCACTACCCCTTCACATATCCCTTTGCCCCCTAATCTGACAACCATCAAAATGCTCTCTGTGAGTGTGGTCATTTTGGGTTAAAAGGGGTATGTCTTTGTCCCCAAATTCTGGTACACAGTTCCTTAAACTCTTGGAATTTCCAGTGATAAGAGTGGAATGTGATTGAAATTTCTCCTTTTTGTTCTCCACTGCCACCTTCTTCCAGGCCCTGTCCATCAGCTCCTCATGACCAAGTCCAAGACTTTTGATCAGAACAAGGAGTGGGGTGAGATTGTTATCTCTAAGTGGTTTATTTCTTTCTGGGACCCAGGCTGAGTAGAGGAGCCCAAATATTATTTTTTCAATTGCTTTATCTTCAAGAGACAGTTTTAATAAACCTGAGTCTTTTATGGGTACAAAGCTAGCTTTTGATTTACAATACCTTTCTAGCAATCGCTTGGTGGGGAACAAAATGTCATTTGAAGGCAAGGGTATTTGGGGAGAGGGCAGTCTGAGCCTGCTTGAGTTTACTATGAGCCATGTGAAGGGATTAATCTTTAAACCCTCCACCTCAGGTTACCGAATAACAGGCACGGTTGTTTTTGCAGGCCAGCATGTTCCCTGTAGCAGCCACTCACTCATTAACACTTCTGGAAGAGCTAAGTGTCCAGGTTAAACTCCAAATGCATTGCAAAACTATAGACCATGTCACTGAGACACCCTCATGGCTATGAACACTGATTTAATTAGTGAGTGAATATCAGAGCAGAAAGGACCTGATGGCATCTGATGGAACCAGAGCCACCACTGCCACCAATGTGGGAGGATCTGGGGTCAGATCTAGAGTTAATTACAGGCTTGCCTCTTAAGTGGATGTGAAATGACAGATGGTTCAGCCTTCTGGCCTCCATTCCTGACTGTGATGTCACCTGCTCTGAGTGGTTTGCTGAGGACAAAATGGGACAGTGTGCAGAAAAGCTAAGCATGATCCTCAGCCTCAGGCAAACACTTGCTAGATATTGGATCCCTCCATGGTTCTGGGGAGACCCTGGGGACCTGAACAGATGGTCAAGATAAAGGGCTTGGGCCTGTTTCACTGGTCTAGAAAGAGAGAGAAAATTTGGAGACAGGTCTTTATTGCCCAACATGAGACCTTCTGGAACCAGGACTGTCATGGCTAGAAATGAATCACGTAGTGTGAGAGTCACCATCCCAGGTCCTTCTCGATCTACTTACAGCCCAATGGCCGCAGGACACAGCTGCCCATCAAGGCAGTGTACCCAGAGGTGAGGCATCTGTCGCCAACCCTCCATGCTTTTTATAAGAATTAAATGTAGGTCGAGCCACCCATTAGGTAACTGAGCCCTTTCTGGGACTATTCTAGTTGCCTTTGGATCCATTAAATGCCCTTTATTTTCCCAAACCTTCTCTGAATTTAAGGAGGCTCCCCTCCTCCTCCCTCCCTTTCAGCTCTCCCCAAAGGGGAGGGGTG